TGCGCCAAAAAACAAAACAAAGCATCAATAACTGTTTCATTTAATAATAAACTGTGATATAGAGTTTCTAGACTATTAATATGATATTTAACAAAAAGTAGAACCACTGTCAATGTCAGGTCATGAAATCTACATAAATAATATTACACGTTTGTTTGTCTGGAACTTTTCTTGCAAATTTCTCGATCAAACACTACAAATGTCATATCGTTAGAAAGGCCTTTGGCCGAGGAGTCCGTATTGTATATTGGTTTTTTCATTCAGAATTACCTCACCTGTTTTTTAGCTTGGTCAAAGTTTTTAATGCAAAGAATAAGCTACATGATGGCGTAATGTCATTGTCATCACGTGACGATTGGCTTCGATTTAAACTAGTTTTTATTATTAGTTTTTTTATTTGCAAAGTATTTCACACAAACAACACTTAACCTACGTGTAATTTCTTCAAAAAATAAACTTTACACTAAATACAATTTCTATGGGATTTCTCGACTTATTTAGGTCTAAAATATGCATGCACAATTCGTTCAAAATCATATGCTTATCACTTTGTGAACACATATTCAGACGTTTCTGCATTATCAGCTAAGTTTGCCTTCATTACAACTTTACATTTACTTTTCTTTGCAACAGTTTAAGTTAGGTTTGTTTCAAAGACTGTTATAAACACCTTTTAGCTACCTTTTTCTTTACTACGGGTCTTGTTCTTCATTTTTGTTTCTTTGCTTCAACTTGTAAAACCCTATCATACAATGAACGCTCATAACTGTTTCGAACTCTGAACACTATTATAATTAACATTACTTTACTTTACTGTTTACTTAACGTATAGTTTTATCAAATAAAGTTACGTAAAAGTTTTCAAATAGACCAGGATTTACCGATCTAACACATAATGCCTGCAAAAAGCGTAGCTTAAATGCCGTGCGTGAAAATGATAGAATAAGGAAAATTCAAGCGAAGAGCATGAAAACAACCGCAAATGTTTTGTAGGTTGCAGCTAATATTCTGTTAGCATGAAACAATTTATGGTATTATAATTTTTGAATTGAATAAAGAAGAATTATGTGGTATGAAAAATCATACTTACATTCACATATTTATTGCATAAGAAAAAAAAAGAAATAAAATTGCGATTTTACAACATTATTTTGAACTTGAACTCAATGAACAATTTCTTGGATGAAACTATTTTCTTTTGCGCAATTTTAAAACACAGAACCAACCAGGATAACTGATTTCCATGTAATAAAAATATTAGGCTTACTAGTATTTGTTTTACTGCAGTCTTTGGTTTTGCATAAAACTCGCAATAAGGCAAAAGCTCGCTGATGAACGATAATACAAAAACTGAATATGTCATCGAATAAATATTACAGAAAAACATCAATATTGGAAAACAATAACTCATTTTTGAGTCAAAAATCATCAAACAAACGCCACAGTTTTATAATGTTTTTCGTTCTGTATTGGAAATTCAAATTGGTAATTCACAAACAATCATTATGTTTAGTAGTGCGAGGTTATTACACATTTAATCAATGCTAATCTTCACATCCTGAGATTATAACCCCTAGTTAGAGTGCTAAATATCTTAGATTAGGACAACCATCCAGGTAGAATGACAAGGCTGTTGAAACTTCGCTGTGATGAATGTGGTCTCGGACCACCAAGCACATAGAAAGACAAAGTTGTGAGAACTTCGCTGTGATGAATGTGGTTTCGGACCACCATACACATATAAAGACAAAGTTGTGAGAACTTCGCTGTGATGAGTGTGGTTTCGGACCACCATACACATATAAAGACAAAGTTGTGAGAACTTCGCTGTGATGAATGTGGTTTCATGGTTGAACTGATTAAAATAGTGTCAGTTTTCATTATTTGTTGTAGATTGCGGACATTATCATTAATTATTTTTTATTCCATAACGTTTATTACTTGTTAAAGCAATTAATACAGAAAATTTGTTGTGACTTCAAGGTGTGAAAAGTACACCGCCGTTTTTGGATAAAATGACGATAGTTTTACTTGCAATAGAACAATATAAACACACCTAACCAGCTGCAACAAACTTAAATATCTTTAAGTAAAAACATCACCATCAAACTGCAAGAAAGTAAGGTTCTTTCTGGTAAGTGTACAAACATTAAATATTCTTTAAAAGGGTAGTATCAAATAGTATTTTTGCTATGAAGTTATAAAAGCGTTGTTTGATGTAAGGTATTAGCATATTATTAAATTCAGGGTATCTCGTGCAAGTATGAATAAAGTAGCATTTTAAATCTACAGGAAAAAAGGGAAACAGTTAAACGACTTTATATTGCTTAAATTCAACGCTAACATATGACAGATTTCACAATTACCTTGAACTTAGTACAATAAAGAGCATTACGCATGCGTGTATAGGGTTATTAGCGTCTTTTGTTTTATCGAATCATATCGTTGCACTAGACTTAATGTTGCAGGCTAACCCTAAAATCTATAGCGTGCTGAGCTAATTTTTATTTTAAACCTTACTAATATGAATTTTATAAAAGCATTCCTGACTTCACACCAATTTATAAAGGTATATCGTCAAGCACGTCTTATATATATGCATCACATTTTAGAAACAAGATTCGAAAACACCTTTGATAACACATTTTAAACTAGCTCCTGACAGAAACACCCTTACCACAGCAATTTATAAGTTAGGCCTAAGAAGTATTTTTGATAAGGCAATTCGTTTCTAAACAAATACTGAGAAATGACGACATTTGAAACTAGGCTAAAACAAAACGTATCTGGTATCATATGGTCGTTTTTAAGCATGATCGTTTGTAATTTTACTCTAAATAAAAAATAATAGTAGCCACAATTTTAAAAATGTATAGTAATGCCTTCAATAAACAGTGAAGGAAGGTATTTTTATGCCTTTCTCGGCATTAAATGTAGAAATTAAGTTTGGTTTGACTAAGTGAGTTTCTTGTCGTTTCTAGCAACAACAAGAAAGAAGAATATGACAAATATCATATTTTAAAATATAAGTGAACAGATGTTTTATCACCGTTATCATTGTTATGCAATAAATTAAGACCTTTTCTTCTTGAAAGCATCCTATATTAATTCACGAACTGTGTTAGATTTAGAGTAAGGTGTGTAGAGTTAGCAGCACTAAAAGGTGAAATCGAAAGGCCACACACACTCATTATGGTGATTTATGAGTAGGTTTTAGGATCGCTGAACTCGAATATCTTATCGGATTTAAAACTGTATTTATATTTCCATTCACATGCAAGGGGGACAAAAGGTATCAGACGTGCTTACGTACCACGACCGGGTGTTTTAATGGGGCATATTTTTGGGTACAGATTCTCCCTTGGTATAGCTTTAAAAAAATAATTGGGAATATTGGAGAATTTGATGGGTACATCGAGGTCTCTGTGAATCATAATGGGACGTTGAGACCTCTCAGAGGAGCATGGGTGTTTTACCCTAGTAGTTATAATTTATGTGATATATCGTACGTAAATAAGAAATCTGTGAAAAATATTCTGGATCTGAACGCGGTGTTCTCTGGCGGCTCAATGATACGATAGAGGGCTTATAATGGTAGAATTGGAGATTCAAACCACTGTGACGGATACAGCAAGTGTTCTTTATTGATTCAACGTTACGCTAACGTAGGATATTTTTTAGGTCTAAAGAGATCGTTTTAATGACTGTTACTAGTCAGAGAGACCCCAGGTGGAACAGCGGTATGTCTGCGGACTTACAGTGCTAGAAACCAAGTTTCGATACCAGTGGTGGGCAGAGCACAGATAGCGCATTGTGTAGCTTTGTGCTTAATTACAAACAAACAATGCTAGTCAGAGAATATGAATATACGCATACCCATTGTTTGTTTGTTTGTTTGAAGTTAAGCACAAAGCTATACGATGGGCTATTTGTGCTCTGTCCACCACGGGTATCGAAACCAGGTTTCTAGCGTTATAAGTCCGCAGACATACCGCTGTGCCACTGGGGGGCTACACATACCCATAAATGATTGTCAAAGTATTGTTTACCTCCCTGAAAAGGTAGCAACAAAACATAATACATTCGTAACATTGATCAGACTAGAAGGCGTGCCTTTGTTTCTCTACTTTGTCATTCTAATATTTGTACCAGCTAATGTCATTTCTAGATGAAATTAAACCATACTGTTTAGATGCCTTATTTTAGTAACAATATATATATATTAACAATCAAACAAGAATTAGATATATATTTTTATTAGCTCAACTTGGAAACAAATACTTTACAATCAAGGAGGAATTAAACACTTGGTGCTATTACTTTAATTTAAAACAAATACTTTACAGTCAACCAGGAATTAAATATGTGTTGCTCTTACTTTAATTTAAAATAAATAATTTACAGCCAAGCAGCAATTCAATTTTAATATAAATAATTTATAATTAACCAGGAAGTAAACATTTGGTGCTATTTCCTTAGCTTTAAAATAAATACTTTACAATGAACCAAGAATTAAATATGTGTGTTGCTCTTACTTTAATTTAAAACAAATAATTTACAGCCAAGCAGGAATTCGATTTTATTACTCGTCAGTACCTCTACTAGCTTACCCTCAAATTGAAATGCTTTTAAGCAGGATTAGAGTAAATTAATTTATGAGACCTTGGGCGTGGTCAAATATATCAATCGAAAAGGTTTGACCTCCTGAGTCCAAAAGTGTAAATCGGTTAAGAGATGACGGAGCTATGAGCTAAAAGTTTGTACTTGAAGAAAACAAAAAAACAAAGCCATTCTATGAGCCATTATGCCGGGGGATAAAAACCAAGGTACCTACAGAATTATTTGTGGGATAGCAAGCCTTTGTAAATCGGTTGTTTTATTCTCTTTGTGCTTAATGATGCTAATATCAAGCGATAAATAAGTGAATGTCTCAAAAATGTGTTGATAATGATAAATAATGATTTGGTTAATAATCGTTTTTTTTTTAAATATTTTGGCAGATTAAGAGCATTGAGTGCCGAAGCAGCGGGAGTTGGTGAGGACAGTAGCTCCTTTGAAGAGTATGGACGATTAACGGACCCAAGGTCACTTGTTCAAGCCATGGCCAAGCGCAAAAGCAATCAAGCTGAGCAGGAAGGGAGGATCCCCACTTCCCTATTTATTCTCAGGGAGGACAACATTATCAGGAGATATACAAAATTCATCATTGAGTGGCCATATCCTTTCATGTTGAACTTCGCATTATTCTGCTCTTCCCAAACTTTCACTCCAAGTTAGGTTGTGTTCTTTAAATATTTTCAAAACACTATTTTTGCTATTCAACTTAGGGTCTGTTAAGAAAGTAGGATAATATGCCAGGAACCTGAAAGTTGAACACAACCATTTTTATTTCAACAAATAAATCCATCATAAGTTTGTCAATCGGCAAGAGATAAAACTAATTTATGAATTTGATCTTTTAAATATTAGTGAGATTGGAGGAAACTTGCTCAGCTATATGCTTATTTCGAACTATTTTTACAATCCTATGAAGTATAAAATGCCGTCAAATAACGTATTTGTTGTTTCTACTGATTGATCACTGAAAATTAAATCACTAAATATTTATATTAATTTGCATTTAATAGATATGTTCACTGGAGTTACAAAACGCAAATTTTTAAAACTTCTGGTGGAACTTTCTTTAGAGTTAAAATGTAGATTGTTAAATCATTTTAATAGAATTCGAT